AGGAAAACGATGTAACATGGAAATATAACGTTTTTACGAACTGTATTGAGGGTTATTGTTTTCGTTTAATTTCAACGTTTTTCGGTTAGGAAACAGAACGTTTTAAAAACCAAAATCCAATATAACCAATAGTACGTTACAATCAAATATATTAATAAAGTTCAAACAATCATAAGTTAAAACGCTACTATAGTTACGTTAGAAGAACATAATTTACTGACGTTTACATGTTGTTTGATCAGGCTTGGGAAATAACGTTGAATCAGGTGGTTCAGTTGACTTTCTTGGAACAACTAATCTGAACATTCTAATGTAAACGCCACTAGAACGATATTAATTAATGTTGTGTAACGTTTCACAGTATCAAGGATATAAAGTCATAATAAAACGAGGTTGAAACATTAATCTAATGTTTTAATGCAACGTTTGCGAATTTTATTGTAAGGTTGTTTTCATTTTCGTTTAATTTCAACGTTTTTAGATTAGGAAAACAGAACGTTTTAAAAACTAAAATCCAATAATCAATGTACATGTAACGTCACAAACAAATCTATTAATAACGTTCAAAGAACCATAAGCTAGAACGCTACGAAAGTTATGTTAAACGAACATAGTTTACTGACGTTTACAGGTTGTCTGACCAGGCTTAGGAAATAACGTTGAATCAGATGGTTCATTTGACGTTCTCGGAAAACCTAATCCCAACGTCTCTGAAGTAAAAGTCGCTAGAACGATAATAATTAATGCTAGCGTCTCACAGTATCAAGGGTATAACGTAAAAAACAGGTTTGAAACATTGGTCTAATGTTTTAATGCAACGTTTGCTAATGATTTAAGATGTAAAGAATATGCAAAATAGAAATGCAACGTTTTACGAACTTTATTGGAAGGGTTAATTTTTCGTTTAATTTTAACGTTTTTAGATTAGGAAAAAAGAACGTTTTAAAAACTGAAATTAATTTAACGTCACAAACAAATATATTACTAACGTTCAAAGAATCATTAGTTAAAACGCTACAATAGTTACGTTAGAAGAACATAATTTACTGACGTTTACAGGTTGTCTAACCAGGCTTGGGAAATAAAGTTGATTCGGGTGGTTCAGTTGACATTCTTGAAACAACTAATCTGAACGTTTCTAAAGTAAACGTCACTAGAACGATATTAATTAGTGTTTAATAACGTTTCACAGTATCAACGATATAACGTCACAAAACACGGGTTTGAAACATTAATCTAATGTTTTAATGCAACGTTTGCTAATGATGTGAGATGTAAAGAACATGTAAAATAGAAATACAACGTTTTACGAACTTTATTGGAAGGGTTTATTTTTTGTTTAATTTTAACGTTTTTAGATTATGAAAACAGAACGTTTTAAAAACTGAAATTGATATAACGACACAACCAAATATATTACTAACCTTCAAAGAATCATAAGTTAAAACGCCAATATAGTTACGTTAGAAGAACATAATTTACTGACGTTTACAGGTTGTCTGACCAGGCTTGGGAAATAACGGTGCTCTAGGTGGTTCAGTTGACGTTCTTGGAACAACTAATCTGAACGTTTCTAAAATAAACGTCACTAGAACGATATTAATTAATGTTTAGTAACGTTTCACAGTATCAACGATATAACGTCATAAAAAACGGGGTTGGAACATTAATCTAATGTTTTAATGCAACGTTTGCTAATGATGTAAAATATAAAGAATATGTAAAATAGAAATACAACGTTTTAGGAACTTTATTGGAAGGGTTTATTTTTCGTTTAATTTGAACGTTTTTAGATTAGAAAAACAGAACGCTTTAAAAACTGAAATCAATATAACGTCACAAACAAATATACTACTAACGTTCAAAGAATCATAAGTTAAAACGCAACAATAGTTACGTTAGAAGAACATAATTTACTGACGTTTACAGGTTGTCTGACCAGGCTTGGGAAATAATGGTGATTCGGGTGGTTCAGTTGACGTTCTTGGAACAACTAATCTGAACGTTTCTTAAGTAAACGTCACTAGAACGATATTAATTAATGTTTAGTATAGTTTCACAGTATCAGCGATATAATGTCATCAAAAACGGGGTTGAAACATTAATCTAATGTTTTAATGCAACGTTTGCTAATGATGTAAGATGTAAAGAATATGTAAAATAGAAATACAACGTTTTACGAACTTTATTGGAAGGGTTTATTTTTCGTTTAATTTTAAAGTTTTTAGATTAGAAAAAACAGAACGTTTTAAAAACTTAAATCAATATAACGCCACAAACAAATATATTACTAACGTTCAAAGAATCATAAGTTAAAACGCTACAATAGTTACGTTAGAAGAACATAATTTACTGACGTTTACAGGTTGTCTGACCAGGCTTGGGAAATAACGTTGATCAGGTGGTTCAGTTGACGTTCTTGGAACATCTAATCTGAACGTTTCTTAAGTAAGCGTCACTAGAACGATATTAATTAATGTTTAGTAACGTTTCACAGTATCAACGATATAACGTCAGAAAAAACGGAGTTGAAACATTAATCTAATGTTTTAATGCAACGTTTGCTAATGATGTAAGATGTAAGGATATGTAAAATAGAAATACAACGTTTTACGAACTTTATTGGAAGGGTTTATTTTTCGTATAATTTTAACGTTTTTAGATTAGGAAAACAGAACGTTTTAAAAACTGAAATCAATATCACGTCACAAACAAATATATTACTAACGTTCAGAGAATCATAAGTTACGTTAGCAAAACATAATATACTGACGTTTACAAGTTGTCTGACCAGTCTTGGGAAATAACGGTGATTCAGGTGGTTCAGTTGACGTTCTTGGAACAACTAATCTGAACGTTTCGAAAGTAAACGTCACTAGAACGATATCAATTAATGTTTATCAACGAACTTTATTGGAATGGTTTATTTTTCGTTTAATTTTAACGTTTTTAGATTAGAATAAAAGAATGTTTTAAAAGCTGAAATCAATATATCGTCACAAACAAATATATCACTAACGTTCAAAGAATCACAAGTTAAAACGCTACAATAGTTACGTTAGAAGAACATAATTTACTGACGTTTACAGGTTGTCTGACCAGGCTTGGGAAATAACGTTGATTCAGGTGGTTCAGTTGACGTTCTTGGAACAACTAATCTGAACGTTTCTTAAGTAAACGTCACTAGAACGATATTAATTAATGTTTAGTAACGTTTCACAGTGTCAACGATATAACGCCATAAAAAACGGTGTTGAAACATTAATCTAATGTTTAACTGCAACGTTTGCTAATGATGCAAGATGTAAAGAATATGTAAAATAGAAATACAACGTTTTAGAAACTTTATTGGAAGGGTTTATTTGTCGTTTAATTTTAACGTTTTTAGATTAGGAAAACAGAACGTTTTGAAAACTAAAATCAATATAACGTCACAAACAAATATATTACTAACGTTCAAAGAATCATAAGTTAAAACGCTACAATAGTTACGTTAGAAGAACATAATTTACTGACGTTTACAGGTTGTCTGACGAGGGTTGAGAAATAACGGTGATTTAGGTGGTTCAGTTGACGTTCTTGGAACAACTAATCTGAACGTTTCTTAAGAAAACATCACTAGAACGATATTAATTTATGTTCAGTAACGTCTCACAGTATCAGCGATATAACGTCATAAACAACGGAGTTGAAACATTAATCTAATGTTTTAATGCAATGTTTGCCGATGAAACATTATAAAAACATTCAAAATAACGTTCGGTCATTGTTGAATGAAAGTAAAATTAAAACATTCTGGCGATGTTTCTGGAACGTTTATAACAAGTACAGCCTATCTCTGAACCTTTTTCGAACGTTTGGAGAACGTGCTTAAAAAAACATTCTGAACGCAACCATATTAGACCCAATTACGAATGTTACCAAAACGTTTTGTGTTTGCTGGGATTGACCATACTGTTGTCTTCTTTCTTCAGTGAGCCATGGCCTGGTCCAGCAGCTCATGATGAATAGTCTTCTCCCTCCTGCTGGTAGATCAACCTCCCCTTGTCTTTGCTGTTCTTCCTCCGACTCAAGGGCTAGGATGTATTTATTACAAGAGGGAGACAAACATCATGTCTTCTTCAGATAGATTATGCTCTGGTACATCTGGAACTTCTGGATCTTGTAGTTTTGCCATCGTGTTGTGGAGTGAAAGATACAATGATTTTGTGGATCTGATCTGGATCAAAAGCGGCATGAAATTTTCCAATGCGTAACAAAGCTTAACAATGCACAACAGAGCTTGATAATCGTATCCGAGCGTGATTTAAAGCGTCATAATCGCATCAAAGCGTAATTAAGCTTATCAAAGTGTGATTTAAAGCGTAACAAAGCGTAACAAGGCCTGATCAAATCGTCCCCCAAAGCGTAACCAATTCGTATCAGAGCTTATCAGAGCGTAACATTACTTAGGAGATCGTGATATTTTTGGAAAAGTAAACAAAAATGATGGCGCTTTGCTCGCCGATTTAAAGCGCGACATTCGCCGTTGGTGTGAACTAGACTTAAAGAGTTGGCCAATAAATAATAGCCTTTGTTTTCCTGTCATTGAACCCTCCAACACGCATAGTGTGTTTTGTAATGCTACGATTAACTAGTACGCAATCCTAATGGGAACTTTCAGGGTTTAGCTAAATTCAAACATGCTGACAATTACCCGATTTTAACGAGGAGTGCGCTAACCCGAATTCCATCAGCACTGCCCATATTTATGGCTCCGTGAGTAAGACACTGGGTTGATCACATTTTCGAGTTCCCACGTACACCTTGGCATACCCGTAATAAAACCCTACACAGTTGGAATTCGAAATAAGAGTAGGCTATATCGTCGCTGTTCGAGCATATTTCCCTCATATCACACTATATGGCGTGCATCCGTCTTTTTTAGCCCATTCGCTGCAGAAACGTGGGACGTTAATCCCATTTTATTTCATATCTTCTGTATTATTTTGCTTTTCCAGGTTCAAGTAAGAAGCCACGCGTGTACAGGCGGTAGGTTTGAGGATTACTTCTGTGCTTGTGGTATAGTCGTTCGAGTTGGACAGACAGTTTTTATGATTAATCATTGCTCGATTGATTATTGGGTTATTGATTATATTCTGTGTAATGATGGTGGTGATATTCTTGACGTCAAAAAATTAAATTCTGGTGGTTACAAGGTAATAGTATATATTTATATGTTTATGTACTGTGTCGCGTCTGTCCTTGCAAAAGTGGACAATCCAATCTAAGGCTGAAATGACAGATATACTTCTGCTTTAATCACATAAACCTCGTATATCAACCTGATAAAATACTTTAAAATTACCAACGGTTTAATTGTATCGTTTTATTTTAATAGCGATGACTTATCGAAATGGTGATATCTGAAGAAAACACCTCAAACAAACAAACCTGTTTCAATATTTGTGTTATTGTCCCCCGCCTTTCGAAGAAAGCAGGGGACTATTAAAATGGGTCCGTCTGTCTGTCGGTCCGTCCGTCTGCTTGTCACGCTTTTTAGGACACAATAACTAGCAGAGCAATAAGCAATTTGATTGGTCGAGACTTTGGAACATAATGCCTTGATGGAGTTTGAAGATGAGAATCGGTGGATGTTTTGGGACACGATAACTTTGGTTATAATTAAGGGAGAGTGACGAAACTCCGAGTATAGATTCATTATATCATTAACCGTACGTAACTAACGTACAAAAATTAAATGGTAGCTAGGGTAGGTCTGTCGTTCAGATTGATCATTACCTTGACTAAGGAACGATCAGCAATTTGACTGGTCAAGACTTTGGAACATAACAACTCTGCTTTTAATTGAGGTAGAATGTTTAAACTTGATGTAGATGTTCATTAAACATACATTATGCAAGAGCTAAATCTGTCTATTGCAGGTCTTTCTTTAGACCTGGAGTGTTATCTAAATTATTAATTAGACATTAATTAACCTTTCGAGGCCATAATGAACTATAGATGGTTATGCTAGTCTGTGATCTTTAGTGGATTATGAGCCGATTTACTGCATAACTTTCCTTCACGATTAAATGGATAATCGAGACTATGCTGTTTATCGTACTGACTTTAGTAATGTTGACCGAGGTTAGGCGGAAATTTCAACCGCTTAGTTCTCGGTTCATAGTGGATCAATTTGAATGAAATTGTCTGCAAATTGCCATTACATTATCTAGTTTTTAACTATTATAGCGAGAACTGCCAGCTCGTTATCGAATCTCCCATAATGTATCTTTAAGTGAATGTCTTGACTGAGTTCAATGATTAACATTTGGAGCTAAAGCTAAGCTGAGCGAAGCAATTTCATTGGTCGATGCTTTGGGACAAGATAACGTTGATTCTATCTGATAGAGAGTGATGAAACCTAATGTATAGTTAATAATCAGTTTGATTGCTTGACACTTTTGAAAAAAATAAATGTGCGATTAATTAATATGTGTCATCTATATATTTTGTTCTTTCGGCGGGGGACATCAGCCTCACTGTTGGCTTGTTAATGATTATTTTTATGGATTTTCAGATTATGTTACCAACGGGAGCATATCTTGAGATAAAGTTTTGGTATACAGCGCTGAATATATTTATGTATCCGTCCGTGATAGATGTCGGTGTGAGTAGAGGGCTGTGTGGTAGTTTATCTGGGTTGGATTACAGTCAACAAAATGAATTAGTATTAAGAAGTGGAAGTACAACCACTGACGATACATCTTTCTTGAATTCCTGGAAGTAAGTAAAACTATTACCATCAAATTCAATTTGATTAAAACACAGAACCTATTTCGTTTTGTTTATTATAGTTCAAAATTTCGTTTTACTTGTCTTTACTACCCTTGAGATCTGGAGGAATTGTTAAATAACCCCGGTTCTGGATGATGTGAGGTAGCCAATGAAAGGGTCTGTTGCGGCGAATTTTTGGCGTAAGGTGCAAGGGAACTGTGGATTACCCACTTGAAACATCGACGCTGATTGGTTAATCAAATGTCTGACGTCATACGGTTAAAACCCGCTCGTATGACCTCTGATGCGACCTTCCACTACAACCGACCAAATCTTCATGTAGTAGTGGGCGTCGAAAGTATAAAAAAGGAAACGAAATGTAGATCTGGGCCCTATTTCTCGAAATCCTAACTAAAGATAAAATCCAAATTTTAGTAGACAATTCAATTTTGTTTGGCTAAGCACTAAAATCAACCTAATATTATCCAATCAAATTACTAAAATTTGGATTTTATCTTAGTTAAAATTTCGTCAAACAGGCCCCTGTATTTTAATCAGATTGCATCCAATTGTTTTTTTTTCCCAAGATGGCTTCAATGGGTTTTTTTCAATATAACCTGGGAACGTTTGTAGTAAGTGGCGAGTTGGTTATAACCAATACACAATATTAATAACATATGAATTGAATAATAAATGATAATAGCATAATTATCTTTGGTGGGATTTAATGCCCAAAATTAAACATATGTTGAAAGTATACATCACAGAAAATACCTAATACCAAAGATGCAAAATACAAATGTCGTTATACTTATAATGATAAATACATAATGCCGTCAATGTTAACGTCAAATGTTAAATTACAAAGGTGTTTTTTTTAGATAATTGCACTGATGTTACAAATAAAACAACATAACCTATTCACAGGTACACTTCAACAAAGCAACTTTCACAATTGACATGTGTCTTTTAACACATCGTAAGTTCTTGAGATCAACGGTCAATGGTCGCTCGCTTATGTGTAAAATTGTTAAAATGAAAGCTTCCAAGAAGGAAAGATAACTCCTGATGATTTGTCCGTCTTCCCAGCGAACTTACCTGAATAGGTTTTTGTCAGTTTTATTTACCTAAATATATATAAATTTAGTCTAAATCCACATGAAAGTAATATTTAAAAAAAACAACTCTATCTGAAATATTATCGTTAAATAAAATAATCATGTATCTCAGCATCTGTACATTCCAAAGTTCTTCAGAAGGGAACGTGTAAATAGTGTATGCGATACTCAATATTGAGTTACTTGCATAACTATGTCCGATATCGCATATATCATGTGATGTAAGTAAATACAAAATAACATTTCAAAACTATGCTTAATATAAAAATAATAATCTTAATAGCAAAAAAATATTACACGCATATTATTACTAATACGAAATAAAATAATATTAACTAACCTAAAACTAATATAGTAGAGTTCCAAATAAAATATATGTACTGGTGGCAGTGTAAGGAATACTGACCAAATTTCTCCAGCGGTATATAAAGCAAACCTTCTCATCAGTTCAGAATTTTACTTTGAATGAACTAAATTAAACATGTTATGATAAACATGTTATAGATAAGAACATTTAAACAACAGGGTTGGACCATGCCCCCGCACCTGCTCAGCTACATAAATAAATTGTAAAACAACACATGTCAAGGTCGTGTACATCAGATGTTGGGATGGGATTGTCATGCAAAGCGCGAGGTAATAACATAATAAAAGTCATATTACATCAATGAAATGTAATTGAAGACGATGATGGCATCATGCATTTTCAACTGTCAAATTTCCTTAACAGGAACCTGACAAACCCCCTCCTGCAACTTAATAGGTTAAGCTAAAAGCCAGTATCTCAGGCACTGATCGTTAAGATAAAGTGTCAAACGAACGGACTTACGAACCTCGACGAAGCCCACTCACAAGCGCCAAAGTAGGGAGTCATTGCGGAGGGTATTAGGGACCTCCCCAAGAAAATTGGAAAAATAGACTACCGGAAATGCTGTCTGACGGTATTCAGGCACCGATTATCGAGATAAATAGTTGTAATCAGATAGCGTCTGTCGCCTGATCACTAACTTTTCCACCCCAGAGAGGAAAGTGTCAAACGAACGGACTTGCGAACCTAAACGTGTGACACTATGAGGTGTCCGCAGTCCCCAGAGACCGGCCAGTGACGCTATCGCTCGTCTCGGCAGGACTTTACGCTATGATCAATTATTTCAATGATCAAATAACTCTGGAACATTCTGTTTTGTTATAACTATGTTTATATATTAAATATAGGAAACTACAAACATCTATGATAGTACATTATGAGTTAAATAAAGTTCTCTAGCGCGTTTTCTGTGGCGAGAGCCGTCCCGGACTCTGAGCCAACCAGCTAGACGTACGGCTAAGAGCGCCGGATGATGTCTTCCTTGGGAACCTGGAGTGGTGTCTCTAAAACTTAAACCCCACACGTTCCTTATAAAGAGGATTCGTGCATGAGTCATGTATTGACCGTTGGGAAATTGGCCAGTTACTTCCTTTGTCTGATTGGGCAGTTGCACAGAAGCTACCCTGGATTTGAACACAATGGTCTATTATGGGCACCAAGGAGGAGGAGCAGATGACAGTTGTCCACATTTCTAAAGCGTGGGATTTGGGATTCCATATCTGGATAAGTGTTTCATTAACCGATGTTTATCAAAAAAATGAGGTAATTTGTACTCCAGAGTTCTCCAATCTGATTTCTTATCGTACCGTACATTTAACACCTCGAGATAAATTGTGGCAGGGCATCATTAACGTAAAAGGATATCCTTTAACACCCCATTTGTTTAACCACTTTAATATATTAAACAAAACTTACTGAAATTTAGAGTACTGACATAACCTCTACAGTGTATAATAGTTTTACAAACGAGGCCCCCGAAAATTTAAACAAGAGCATCGCTAACACTACAATATACGTCCATATTCCAGCTTTGATCGATATGGTACTTTTTAAAATTGAGAGAAATAAATATGAAATGGCTGTAATATGACAAGAGGCAAAGCAGGTTAATCGTTGGTCGTTTGGTTTGTTTTGCCAAATTTACAGACAAAATATTAACAAAAAAGTGGGTATGACACTACCCCAGGAGGTCGTGGCCTTACACCAAGTTCGAAAGCACAACCACAAATCAGCTACAATTCGAGGCGCTATTTCAATGTTTCTCGTTCTGGGTCCCGTTTCACAAAACTTAAGCTAAAATCTTTAAAATACATTTTAACTAAAATCAAAATGCAATTTTAACTTAAAATTGAATTTTAATCGATTTTAACTTTAAAATTGAATTTTAATCGATTTCACCTTAAAATTGAGTTTTAATCGATTTCATCTTAAAATTAAATTTTAGTTAAAATTGATTGCACCTGCGCAGTTCCGTTTATCAACATCCTGCCACAGCTTTTTCCTCCCTCGATCTCGACATTTGCTTTCCGGTCCTGTTTAAGGGTAAATGAAGATCTGTGTGACAGTGACCACTTTCCTATTTTGATTGATAATAGACCTCAGAGATGGAAGTTGCATAAGGCTGATTGGGCTCTGGTTGAATCTTTGTGACTCATCTTTTTTGATACAAAGGAGTTAGAAGATGCCGATGAACCCATGGCCTCATTCACTTCAATCCTTTAAAATGTAGCTGAGCAGGCGATTCCAAAAACCACGACTGCACCAAAACGTTTCAATAAACCATGGTATAACGAAGATTGCAAATCTGCTCTTAAAGAGCGTGATCGTATCCTCAGACGGCTAAAGAACCACCCTTCCATGGAGAATATTGTGGCATACCAAATGGTCCGGGCAAGGTTACGTCTCAAGGATCAATTCCCGTACCACATTTAAGTCGGTATCGGATATGATTCGTAGGATTAAAGGTAAAGGTAGTGCTTTATCAGTTAACCATCTAAATGTTGATTATACCACCTTAATAACATTTCCTGATATAGCTAAATCTCTGGCCAGTACAATGTCATTTAATTCATCATCCAATTTCTCCCCAATGCCTTTCGAGGCATTAAACAACATCAGGAGAAAAGACGACTCAGTTTCAAGTCCCGCAATGATGAATGCTACAATGATACCTTTTCCATTGCAGAGCTTCGGGATTCGCTAAAGCGAGCTCGGGATACTGCAACTGGTTCAGATGAAATACACAAAGAGCTCAACACAACAAAATAGCTTCGGCTACTGTGACGCCATATGAGACCATTTCCGTTTGTCCCCCCCCCCCCTGCTGCTTGTATATTTACAGCTGAGCTTCAAGCCATACTTCAGGCTTTGGAGTTCATTCAATCATCAACTGTACTTAAGCACGTCATCTTTCCTGAGTCTCTGCCCTCGCTTCAAGCAATTAACAATAAACAGCTTAAGCATCCACTGGTGGCAGATATTTACTGTCTGCTACTATCTTATGAGTTTATCAGCAAAGACATCGTCTTTTGCTTGCTCCCCAGCCATGTTGATATAGAAGGGAATGATCAAGCAGATTTAGCTGTCAAAGCTGCTTTGGATCTTCCCCTATCAACATTTTAATACCATACAAGGATTTTAAACATTGTATTGATTATTGCATTGGGATCGTGCAGGCACAAATAAACTTCATCACATAAACAGGAGAGATGAAGTTGTTTTGTGTAGCTCTCGCATATGTCATACTTTTTTAACACATTTTCATCTTAAAGTGAGAGCCTCAACCAGAATGTGAACACTGTCATGTTCATGTGACAGTTGAGCACATTTTGATTGAGTGCAAGCATCTCAAATATACAAGATTGCGATATTACCGTTGCTAATCACTACATCAGTTGTTTGCCCAACTGGGTCTATATAGTAGAGGGCTAGATTTTTTAAAAGAGACAAATTGTTATCGAAAGTTTTGATTGTATATATCTGATTTTCTCTTTCATGTTTTAAATACTTGATTTCTTATGAAG